TCTAGTATAATTATAGTTTTCTTAGGACTGTTTCCACATCAAGGAAAAAATCGTATTAGAAGCTATCTGTTTAAATCCAGATTATTTTAAAAACAAAATTTATAAGTTCTATTTTCTTTTCCATAATTTTTCTCCTGTTTGGAGGGACAGTTGACTGATGTATTATGTTATTTGCATTTTATGCTGTCATCATTTTCAGTAAGGGCATTGTGTTGGTAAAATTCAGTTTTAGAATTGTGATTTAATTGGAGATGGGCATTGATTATATAACAAAGAATGAATTTCCTTACTAGATTTGATGACTTTAGATAGTGCAGAGCCTACAAACAAAAACTTTCTGGGGGCTTCTCATTTGGTGTGTGTAATAAGCAGAAATGGTGCCATAGGGGGGAGGTAAGAGAATGAGGATTAACATCAGCTTCAAGAGACTGGAAAGTGCTGTTTTCGAGTGTAGATCCTTAAAATGTTGTAAAATCTAAATTTTTATTCGAACAGTCTCTGAATAAGTGTCTTATTAATTTTTATAAGATAGCTCAGGAGGTAATAGGAATTCAAGAAAGGCGAAAATTGGCAAGTTATATAAATGGTATAAAAGTTGAATAGTTGCTTGAAAATTTACATTTATTTTATGACTCTCTGTCATTGTTTCCTATCCATATTTTACTCTTCTTGAGTCTATAGTAGTCTAGATAAAAATAAAACTATTAATGAAAATAGATTTTTAAAATCCAAATAATTATTGGGTTTGAATAGTAATAAACTCACAAAACACAGCAGACTTTGATGTGGAATCTATAATTCTATTTGGTTTTGTGAGAACTTAAAATACTCATATTCATTTTGAACTATTTTGTGTGCTGTAAAATTATATTCCTATTGTTTCTTTTTTTTTTTTTTTCCCAGTTCCTTGGGGCAATTAGAGTGTGAACTCAGAAAGAAAGTGCATTATCATTATCTCAGAGCAGGTTTTCTCTAGAATATTTTAGCTTCTGAGTTATTTCACTGTGTTCAGTTTTGAAAATTAGGGAGGAAGAGGAAGTTGACTCTTATCTTCCCAGTTCTGTTGCTTGTTGGCCCTCCTTATGAAGACTGGGTATTATTACAAACAAGCAACTATTACTTGAGTAAGTCACCTGATCAGATGAGGTTTTTCTTTGTACTAACTACTAATATTTTATGTTTTTCATGAGTAGATAACTTAATGAAGAATTATATCAATTGAGATTGATCTGTGGATAATTTAGTAATGAGTAAAAATCTTAGAAATAGTATTAACACAAGTGAATTATAAAAACCAAATCAAGAGCCACATTTATGAATTGGAAAATTAGTGGATGTCTTTTCTTTTGTCAAGGTAGAATGCCCAAATTAATACATGTTTAGAGCATGAAGTTAAGAAATCAAAATTATCAGTTTCTATTAGAGATATTGATAAGCTGTTATCCTTTGTTATTAAGCTTAAGAAAATTGTTTCCCTTCAGTGATTAAATGAGATATGGTCTGATTTTTAACATTGTTAGAACTAAGTTTAGTTTGGTTTTGCAACATTATTTGACCCTTTCTGAAAATTTTTATATAATAAAATAGGTTTAAATTTTAACTTCATGACATCTCATCAGCTAATTAGATTCCTTGCTTATCTCATAACCTTATTTAAGTATCACAGAGGTAATTTTGTTGATTGCTGCTTTGGAGGTGCAAGATGTGTGCAAATTCTTATTTGAGATTAAGGATATCTTTAAGTTCTGAGGAATTTTTAATTCAATTGTCAGGTTGTATTCCAAATGTAGCCTAGATTCACTAGAACGAAGTCTGTGTTTCAGAAATGTGAGTCAAGAGTATGGAATGTACAATGATGATATTCGTTATGTCCCTGGGAAATATAATAGGTATTTTAGTTGAAGGAAAAGGATTTGTGGTCAGATAAATTTAGAATATGTAGGACACGTTGTTTTAAGCAAAGCTAAGCTTTACTGGAGATTTCTCAGAGCTATTAATATTGAAATATTTTTTAAAATTAGATTAATCTTATTTTAAGGACTGTAAGTATCTGGTCAGTCATTGATCTTATTTTGTTTTGTGTAATCTTTTCCTCCCTTCACAAAATAATATGCAAGTTCCATGTCAGATATCACATTATTTTATTAATGGGAAGAAGGAAATGTCTTTTTATTCAAGGGACTTATAATTTAGTCACACATATGGGAAATTTCATATATGATTTATTAAAATGAAATGAATTTAATTTTGTTTGTTTTTTTTTGTTTGTTTGTTTTTTTTTTTTTTTTTTTTTTTTGTTGTTTACTCTTATACTATTTATTAAAGAACCACTGATGTTAAAGTAATAAACCAACTCATAGCCACAAATGCCATCAAAAGCGAGCTCTTGAAATTTGCTTTCATTCCAGTCCATTCAAGCAGTGCATGATTCTCTGCCACTATATTTTATTTTTGACAAAGTCTGGTTGCATTTTCTTTTTTTTTTTTTTTTTTTATTTATTTATTTATTTTTTTTTTTTAATTAAATCTTTATTGTTCAGATTATTACATTTGTTCCTCTTTTTTTTCCCCCCATAACTCCCCTCCTCCCAGTTCCCGCCCCACCCTCCGCCCTCACTCCCCACCCACTGTCCTCATCCATAGGTGCACGATTTTTGTCCAGTCTCTTCCCGCATCTCCCACACCCCTTTCCCCCCCAGGAATAGTCAGTCCATTCCCTTTCTATGTCCCTGATTCTATTATAATCAACAGTTCATTCTGTTCATCAGATTATTTATTCACTTGATTCTTAGATTCACTTGTTGATAGATGCATATTTGTTGTTCATGATTTGTATCTTTACCTTTTTCTTCCTCTTCCCCTTCTTAAAGGATACCTTTCAGCATTTCATATAATCCTGGTTTGGTGGTGATGAACTCCTTTAGCTTTTCCTTATCTGTGAAGCTCTTTATCTGACCTTCAATTCTGAATGATAGCTTTGCTGGATAAAGTAATCTTGGTTGTAGGTTCTTGGTATTCATCACTTTGAATATTTCTTGCCACTCCCTTCTGGCCTGCAAAGTTTCTGTTGAGAAATCAGCTGACAGTCGTATGGGTATTCCCTTGTAGGTAACTGAGTTTCTTTCTCTTGCTGTTTTTAAGATTCTCTCTTTATCTTTTGCTCTTGGCATTTTAATTATGATGTGTCTTGGTGTGGTCCTCTTTGGATTCCTTTTGTTTGGGGTTCTCCGCGCTTCTTGGATCTGTAAGTCCATTTCTTTCACCAGGTGGGGGAAGTTTTCTGTCATTATTTCTTCAAATAGGTTTTCAATATCTTGCTCTCTCTCATCTTCTGGCACCCCTATAATTCTGATGTTGGTACGCTTGAAGCTGTCCCAGAGGCTCCTTACACTATCCTCGCATTTTTGGATTCTTTTTTCATTTTGCTTTTCCGGTTGGGTGTTTTTTGCTTCCTCGCATTTCAAATCATTGACTTGATTCTTGCGCTCCTCTGGTCTGCTGTCGGGAGTCTGTATAATATTCGTTATTTCAGTCCGTGTATGCTTAATTTCTAGTTGGTTCCCCAATATAAGATCGAGGGTCTTATTAGTTTTCTTGTAGATCTCATTAAGTTTATCGACGGCTTCTAAACAGTTCTTGAGAGACCTTAAAAGTGTGGTTCTGAACTCTATATCTTCCATTGACAATTTTGTCCTGTTTCTTTGTCTCCGCATTTTGTTATGCTTCCTTGGTGCACCCCCTAGTGGTCTTTGTTCACAGTCTTATAGTTAAATCTTGATTGTTGTAGCTAATTCCAGGGAGGGTTTGACCTCCAGGCCAAGTGGCTATGAGAATCAGCTGTGTCAGCAGTGAGAGAACTTCTGTCCTCTAGGGAGGTGCTAATCTAGCCTTTGCCTGAGGCTATCCGGCAAATGCCTGTGTGCAGGGCTTGGGCGGGGCGGGCCGCACAGGATCAACAGGGTGGGCCGGAGAGAGCAGTTATGGCGGCTCTCAGTCCTGTCCCCAGGGGCTCTGCCTCTCTGAGTCCCAGCACCCGCTGCAAAGCTCAGAGAGAAAGCTGCACTCGCTCTGACCGAAGCCAGACAGTCCCGCTTCTCCCGTTTTAGTCTGGGTCCCTAAAGACTCGCCCGGATCTGGAGCTCAGAGTCTGCGACTCCCTCCCAATTGAAAACGCCAACCGCGCCCTCCGCCGCCAGCCCGCTCGCGCACTCCGCACCTCAGAATTTGACTTCAGCACTGTGCCTCCTCTGAGTGTCCGTATGCGTTTCTCTTTCCTCCTAGTTGTAGGACTTCCACTCAGGCAGCGTTCCTGTGGTTCTGGGTGATGTCCCTTCCGTTTTTTGGTTTCACTTTTGAAGTAGTTGTTCAAAGCAGCAAACTCCAGTGTTAACCTATGCCGCCATCTTGGTTCTCTTGTGTTTTTTATTTCAATTTTAGTTCCTTGGATTTTGTAGGAACTAATGAGGAAATAAGGTAAAAGATAGATGAGGTAGAAAATGAGAATAGGATAAATTCAACAGATTGAATTAGACTTAAAATTTTGTTTTGTCTTTTCTATGAAATGCTTATGGGACTAAGCTTTTGCAAGATACATGCATATTTATATCTAAACAGATTTTTACAAAATAAATAAGGTAAGTTGCTGATTAGAGTCTTCTGGAATTTTTCACAGTGGTGTTGGGGTATTTTAGAATCTATTAGTGAAGAGAACTGATCTGCTGTTATCCTCTAATTAATGGGAGTCATCTGCAATTTTTAAATTATTGCTACTTGTGATTCTGGTCATAATTTGATACTGCTCATTCTTTCACATTTTTCTAAAATTTGAGACTTAATCACTCCTTTCTACTCACTTGTCAACCCTGTTTCCAGTCATCACTTTTAATTTACTTCCTAGTTTTGAAGGTTTGACCCCAGAGAGTTGTAGTATATATCAGAACATATACTGCATACTTTTCCAAGTTTATCCTGTAACTATTCTACACAAATGTCTGTTTCAGATGGAGCAGCTATCAGATGAAGAAATTGACCATGGTGCTGAAGAAGACAGTGACAAAGAAGATCAAGATCTGGACAAAATGTTTGGAGCCTGGCTGGGGGAGCTAGACAAACTCACTCAGGTTAGAAGTAGTGCTTGGAAAACTGGTTGAGGATTTTAAGTCATCACCGTGTGCTAAAAGTTTACAGTATAATCATAAGGATATGGTGGATATAGGTTACATTTTAAAATATTGCTATAAAAATAAAATGTCCAAAACATTAACAAGTGAATAAATGTTATAGGACAAGATATTATCTTCTCTGGTTATTTGAAGGAGTTTTAAAATATACTTGTGACTGACTGAAGTTCTGTTTATCTACAGGGATTACTTACAATCTCTTTCATAAATTGAGATTGCTGGCTAGAAAGCTGTAAAGCCTAAAATTTTAAAGTCTAAATTTTAGCATATCCTATTTCATAATTTAGTGAATTTTTGAATACTTTACAGCATAAATAATATCTTCACACATGAAAATATTTTCTATTACATGATTGCAGAGTATTGATAAAATTTCATTCCCAGCTGCATTTTAAAACAGTGGAAAAGCCTTTTTGTTTAGTTTTCTTGTATCATGAGTTTTTTGTTTTATTTATTCTTTTTATTTAAAGAATGACCTTATCCTCTAAACCAGGTCACTTTTATAATAAAAGGGTATTCTGTTACTATCCCAGTTGATATATTATATTCAATATATATATAAAGATGGTTATGTTTATTAAAACAACTTTAACTTCATATCATTGAGAACATTAGAACAAAAATATTTTCATTCATCCTTAATATCTCTTGGAAGAACTTTTATGTAAAATTACTTAAATTTGAGATTCCTTAACCAGTAAAAAATTGGGAAGTAAGCTGGAAACTTAAAGTACTGGTTTGTTCCTCTCTGTAACAGTCTGTAATTGAAACTGATAAACTCTTCACATAATTCTAAGAGTAATTCTAAAATGGATCGTTTTGAAAAGCAGACATGTTTGTGACCATAATCTGTTAATGTTCAATTTTCAGGATCTCAAAAGAATCATTCCTTTCACTTCACTAGGTTTCACTTCTACTAGGATCTCAAAAGAATCATTCCCTTCATCTCCAATCAGGAGAAATAAAATACTTGTTGAGAGAAAGGTCTTTCTTATATCTGTAATTGTGAACCCATTTCAGTTTAATTCTTACATTTTTTAAAAAGGTGATTTTGGTGTAGAGATGATGACTAGGCTATGCATTTCTATGCGGAGGAGAAAAAGGAATGAGGAAGCAAAATGAAGGAAATCGAAAATGATAATATGTGCCAGCTGGCATGTGTGGGGTTGCTTTGACTGTATGGTTTTATTACTCATATTTGGGAAGGGAGCCAAAAAGAGAAAAGACAGGTAAGTATAACTCCAGCTGCTCTAGGTGGAGCAGTACTCCATGCTACTCCATTTCAGGTGGGCTTCTACTGGTTCAGTGCCTTTTATTCTTCTTTATACTTTAAATCCCCAGATTTCTAAATGTAAAGAGCCACTCACCACAAAAGTTGGCTCCTAACTAGTGCTGTGACTGTTCTTTTTATTATACAAATCTGTCTTTAGAGAGAAAGATTTAAAAAAACTCTTGTGTAATGTGGCTCACTGCTAACAGTTGTGTTTTAACACTTCAGAAAGTTTCAAAAACTTTTACTAAGTTAGTGGCTAAACTTCAAGTTTTTTAATTTATTATTTTAGTTCACTACAATGTGTCATCTGTGTGCCTCTATCACACATACAATGTTAATGGGATTTTCAATTTTATATTAAGTCAGGTTTAAGTTTTAAGTGGTTGGTGTCTCTTCTGAAATCATTTGCAAAATTTGTGTGTATTTGCGTTTTTCTGGAAGGTACATATAGCATATAGCTTTTTTCAAATACTCAATGACCTCCCTCCCCCCCCCCCCCCCCCCCAGAGAAAAGTTAAAAACCACCCTACTAGATTACGAATTTCTTGACATCAAGGAGTATTTCTTTCTCTTTCCCTTGTTGTCCCAGCAGCATGGACACAGCAGACAATTATAACAAATGTCTATTTACTTAAACTGGTAAATAGATTGATTTTTAATATGTCCTCAATTATATTCAAGTTATTTTACAGTAAACATTACCTATCTATTAGTCTTCATTTCCACTGAGAGAAGGAGGCTTAGAATTAAATTGCAGCAGAGACGTACGTTTGAGATTAAAGGACAATTTCCTGGCTGTTTTGTGCAATTTTGAAATAAGGCACTGAATGGTCATTAATGTCCTTCATATGATAGTTTTAAAACCAGTATGGACACTTTCTGAATGGATTTGTTTTATCTTGAGATAAATGAATAAAGTAGATAGCATTCTACTCTAATTCCACGATTCTACTCTCCAGCATTCTCCTTTATTTGAAATCTATTTGATAATTCTAGGTAGAGACTAACGTTTTAAAAGACTAATCCCAATATTTGTAAATTTATTTAAATAAATGCTGTATATCTACCTACCTTTACCCTGAATTTCTCTGTTTCTCTTATTTTCCTTATTATAGAAAGTTTAGAAAAAGTATCATTTTAAAAGGTGGTGAGATAACTTACAAGATACCCAAACATGAAGTATAGTATAATTCTAGACTTTGCACAAGCAGTGTAGCTGGGTTACTGTGTGCCCTCATAGAATTTGAAAAGAACAAGGATATTTAATTATTGTTTAAAGTTGTAGCTACTCTGTTAAGATCTTGAGTGACACTAATTTTGAGTCTAGAAATGTACCGTATCTTCAGGGTCTATCATGCCAGGAAGGACGCTATGCTGGACCTAAAACAAATTACTTTGAAGAAAGAGATAACAGAATTATCTGCATCATTTCTTCCTATTTATCTTACCATGCCCATATTCATATAACTAGTTTTATAGTGAATTTATGTAATATGAACTTAGTCTCTATACTTGATGTATTTGGAAAAATATGTATGACATTCTCAAGTGCCTTCAGTAAGATTATTATCTAAAAATTTAAAAAAAGTATAACCAAAATAATATGAAAACAAAAACTTTGGTTTTATTACCTATTCTATAACAATTCACTTAATCATTAAAACAAACTATTTGTTGTTGTTGTTGTGGTTAATCATCTCCTGAGGATATTTTTCCATTGATTTTTAGGGAGAGTGGAGAGAGAGGGAAAGACAGAGAGAAACATCAATGTGACAGAAACATCGATTGGTCGCCTCCTGCATGAGCCCCAGCAGGGCCTGGGCCTGGGAGTAGCCTGCAACCAAAATATGTTCCCTTGCCTGGAATCAAACCCAGGACCCTTTGGTCCACAGGCTGATGGTCTATCCACTGAGCCGAACAGGCCAGGGCAAACTGTATCTTTTTATATAATTGAAGTGTGGATATAATATGACTTATCAAACTTTCTTTTTTCTTTTTAAAGAGTTTGGATTCTGACAAGCCCATGGAACCAGTAAAAAGATCTCCTCTTCGCCAAGAAACAAACATGGCCAATTTTTCTTACCGCTTCTCCATATACAACTTGAATGGTAAGATGTAATTGGAAATAAAATGTAAAATAGTGTACTAAATTATATAACGTAAGAGCAGTGCAGCTACAATACCAAGTAGCTCAACAAGAAATGATATGCATAAGTTGACTGAGTTCTTATATTTCTTGATTTGTTTATTACTATTTCAAATGATCACAGAAAAAAACAAACTGGAACATAACTAAAATAGTTTTCTAGTTGAGTTATTAATAATTACAAAGTATATACTCAGGTGGAACCTAAATTCCAGTGAAGTTAGTTGTTAGTAATTTTAAAATCAGCCCTCTGGCCTTTATTTAATGCCCTCTACCAAGTCAACTTTATAGTGTTTGAAATTGATATTTCAATCTGTAACTTTTTAGGCCTTACATTTCTTTTTATGCCCTCAACTTTTTAGGTAACATCTCTACCAGGGCATTGATAATATTGACAACTTAGATCCTCTGATAAAAAGTTGCATTATGGATGAGGCTAAAAGTAGGAACGGTGTACAATTTTTGCATTATTTTTACTTTCAACTTATAATTGTGTTCTCTGATGGCTAAAAATCTTAAAAGATGGACTGTTTGCTTCTAAAAATTTCTCTTAAAAACCTGTTAGAAATACTATATTTGAGAGGCTTTAGGACCAATAGGATGAATTTTTTTGCTTCTTTCCCTGCATTCATTAACTGATTTATAATAGAATGTATACATTCTGATTCAGTTGTTCTGGAAACATCATGTATATTGTTCATTGCAGAAGCTCTGAGTCAGGGAGAAACTGTGGATCTGGATGCCCTGATGGCCGATCTTTGCTCAATAGAGCGGGAGCTCAGCAGTATCGGTGCAGGAAATAGTAAGCGTCAAATTGCAGAAACAAAAGCCTCTCAGAAATTACCTCCTAGCCGACATACAACAAAGCATGGCACCTTGAAAGGATTGTCTTCTTCATCTAATAGGATTACTAAACCATCACATGCCAACTACTCCCTGGAGGATATTACTGCACAGTTAGACCAGGCCTCTTTGAGCATGGATGAGGCTGCTCAGCAATCTGTACTAGAGGATGCTAAGCCCTTAGTAACTAATCAGCACAGAAGAACGGCATCAGCGGGCACGGTGAGTGATGCTGAAGTGCGCTCTATGAGTAACTCCACTCGCTCCAGCATCACTTCTGCAGCTTCCAGCATGGACTCTTTGGATATTGATAAAGTAACGCGCCCTCAAGAACTGGAGTTGACACATCAGGGGCAGCCAATTACTGAGGTAGGTAGATGAAATGGGTTTTTTTTGCTATTTTAGTACTAAAATAGAAAACTAGTTTTTAAATATAGTTTTAAATAACTTTCTTATTTTCTCTACATTTAAAATTTATCAAGGATACCTCTGAGCTAAGTTTTAAAATCATTGCAAAAGGAGTATATTACCAACTATGGCAATGTCACAAAGAAGAATAAGAGGATAGTATTTAGTTTCTTCATTTTTATTCTTGTGACTATTTTGAATTGTTTGAATTGATGTTACCTGTTTCACATTAATAAAAAAAAAAACTTGAAATATACCCGGCCAGCATGGTTCAGTGGTTGAGCTATGAACCAGGAGGTCATCGTTTGATTCCAGATCAGGGTACATGCCCGGGTTGCGGGCTCAATCCCCAATGTGGGGCATGCAGGAGGCAGCCGATCAATGACTCTCTCTTATCATTGATGTTTCTATCTCTCTCTCCTTCCCTCTTCCTCTCTGAAATCAATAAAAATATATTTTAAAGGAAAAAAAACCCACAAAATCTCGAAATGTGTTGTTGTTTTTTTGACATTTGCAAAGTTAGTATGGCTCGTAAGCTGATAATAATTGCTTAATATGTATTTATTATAAATTAACAACTTAAGAAATTTCTTAAGACTCATATTCCCATTGTAGTCCTCCAAGATTCTAGTTTTTAGGGTTCACTGAACTTTATTATGAAAGAGTCAGTGTGGTATAGTGCAAAGAGCCACTGGGCTTGGAATCAGAAAACTCAGTTCCAAGTGTTTGCCACTCACTATCCATAGAACCTAAGTGAGTTTATCCAACATCTGTGAACATCAATTTCTCAAAGTAAGAGGGAGCTAAGGGTACATGGTCTGTCCTCTTGTACAGTGGTTCGGAGTCAAAAGGATATAATATACATGAACAGATTTTTAAAGATGAAGTGGTTTATTTTTGTTTTGTTTTTGTTTTTGTTTTTTTTTAAATATATTTTATTGGTTTTTTACAGAGAGGAAGGGAGAGAGACAGAGAGCCAGAAACATCGATGAGAGAGAAACATCGATCAGCTGCCTCCTGCACATCTCCCACTGGGGATGTGCCCGCAACCCAGGTACATGCCCTCTACCGCAATCGAACATGGGACCCTTCAGTCTGCAGGCTGATGCTCTATCCACTGAGCCAAACCGGCTTTGGCAAGATGAAGTTTTTCTTGATGAACGATGAGGGTAAAGAATAGATTTGTGATAAAAATAAGTTTGGAAAAAACAGAGTTTAGTTTTACTGACGGTGAATTCTTGTGGGTTTTTTTTTCATCAAGAAGGCAATTTTGTTATAGGGTAGCAAAAATAAAACCAGCCTTCCATTCACTTTGTATTTACAATGTCCTCTATAAAAGGTAAAATAATCTATTCATAAATAATCAAAAGTAAACCTTATAAAACATTGTTTAAGGAATTGCACAGAAATGTAAAATTTACACCTATTGACAGTATTGATTTTCCCCCCATTGATTTAATTTATTAGATTACTTTTCATCACTCGGCAACTCCATTTATCTAGCTTTGTTCTAGGTAATGTGGAGCACAAAGGAGGTTTGGAGATAAACGAGTTTTATTGTTTCTAAGGAAATATGTCACTTTATCATGGTGGTTTGGAGATAAATGAGTTTTATTGCTTCTAAAGAAATATATCAGTTTAAAGAATAAACATTTATTTAAAATGAAACTTAAAGTGATAGATATTCTGTAGAGAACTTTAAAACTGATTTCTACCTTATGATACCTGGGGATTACATTTAGCACCAGCTATTTATTAATATGTGTCATTTATGTATTTTAGATTTACCTATTGGGAAATGACCAATATTTTACTGGGGATGTGCTTTCTTGGTTTTCCTGTGTTTTATATATTGATATTCCTTCTTTCCAATCAGATTATTTTTAATTGAGTCAAGATGCATGGAAACAGGTTAATCATTCAGGGTGTGTGTGTGTGTGTCCATGTGTCCATCTATAACATACCCTCATTATAAAAGTTCAAACAATGAAAGAGCAAATGAAGTGAAAAGTCCTCTCCCAGCAAACACTTCACATGGTATCCAGTGGTATCCATGAGCAAGGAAACCAACGTTCAGTGGTTTTATGTTTAACGTATGGCTTTAATACAAGGTTTGGTGAGTAAATGAAGAATCATACAAGAAAGGGAGTTAAGGTCTTCTCTATTCAGCCTGTTCTTTTTGCCTTTCCCAGATGGGTAGAAAAGTAATTTGCTGCTTTTGGAATTGCACAGAAATGTAAAAAGTATACTTTTTCTAGATGTAGTTTGTTCTGATTCAAGTCAAGAAAACTAAGGGAGTCTATTACTAGGTCCCAAATCCTTATTCCCACACTCATACACAATTTTTAAAAAAACATTAGTTTGGTAAGCGTGGAGCTCAAAGAGTCAAATGGTTCTATAAGATTTGTAAAAAACACTGCTGTGTATACACACACACACTTTTTGCCCTCCAACTCCAACCTTTCTCCCAGTTGATTAAATTTCATACTTATTTCAAACAAAATTAGTATTCTACTAATTTCATCTTAAATTGTTTCTATCTTTTGGAATCTTTACGCTAGGATCATTCTGAGGTCTTTCTCCAAAGCAGATTCTTCCAGCCTTGCCTGGAGGGCATATGCCGGCTCCCAGTGCTTTAGCAGCCCATTGGGAAAAGAAGGCTTGCGAAGTGGGATGGTCCTCAGTGTTCAGTACGTGATCTTCCATGTAATCCTAGGTCAGGGTTTCTTAACCATAAGTTTATTGACATTTAGGGCTAGAAAATTCTTCATTGTGAGGAGCTCTCCTGTGCATGGTAGGATGTTGAGCAGCATCCCTGCCATCTACCCACTAGGTGCCAGTTGTACACACACACCCTCCAGTTGTGACAACTCAATATGTCTTCAAACATTACTACATGTTCCCTGTAAGGCAAAATTGCCCTCATTTGAGAATCACTGCTTTAAGTTCAGAGTTAGTAGCAGATCTGAGCCCTTTTATTCATGGAAGATGATCTTGGGTTTTCCTTCCCTTGAATTCATTTACTAGAAACTTAATAAATCTAGAATGTTTTCAAGCAATATTGTTTGTTGTAAATTGACCCCTGATTGGTGAGTGCATATGAATCAGTAAGATGGTGAGTGAACTTTAGAAGCTGATGAAAAGTCACAGACCTTGGCTTCCTGGTGTGCAGTGTGTAACTCTTGTAAGTTAGCATGAACACATTTTTTGAGGGGCCATGGAACCTACACTCATCATTTGTTATTAGGGGCCCAGTACACAAATTTGTGCACCTTGAAAGGAACTGTGGGCTGCGAGGCTGTGGTGGGCACAGGGGTGGGTCTCAGCCCATCCTCGGCTCCCCCGCCCAGCCCCTCCGGCCTTAGCCCCCAGTCCCCTCTCTGCCAGCAGCCCCGCTCCCACCACCACTGCTCCCATGCAATGATGGCACCAGCCCCACTTGCACCCACTGACAGCGCAGAGTGGTTGGGGCCAGCGCTAGCATCGGTGCAAGCCGGTGCCGTCAGCAGGTGCGAGTGGCAGCTGCTTCCCTGATTGCCCCTCAGGAGCAGGGGAAGGTGGAGAAGCCCTCAGGGGCGATCAGGGCCAGCCGCCGCCACTTGCACCCACTGACGGCACTGAGCAATCGGGATCAGCACTGGGTGCCAGCAGTGGGTGCGAGCAGTGGCTCTGGTGCCAGCAGCAGGTGCGAGCACCAGGCGGGACTGTGGCATGTGGAAGCAAAGAATTTTCAGTAACCACCAGAGGTGAGCCCTGCCTTCATCTGGCGCCCCCGCTCACCACCTCCACCATCCTGCTACAGCTGATGCCTGCCATGTTCTGCACTCTGCGGCCTTCTGCATGTTCCGCACATGCCCGCTGGCGGTCAGCGCACGTCATAGCCGCGGGTTGTTCAGTCGTTCCGTTGTTCAGTCCATTTGCATATTAGGGTTTTATATATATAGATAAAACCTCAGAAGTTTGATCAGGAGATTGGGAGTTCAATCGTTCACTGTGATGTGCGCTGACCACCAAGGGGTGGCGCAGAACAAAGGAGGCCTTAGCCAGCAGCTGGCAGCCGGGGAAGGGAGGCCCAGCCAGCAGCCAGAATGTCCCGATCAGCCCTGATTACCGGCCAGGCCTAGAGACCCTATCTGTGCACGTATTTTGTGCATTGGACCTCTAGTATATAGATAATGTACTACTGGTTCCTGTGGAGCAGGAATTTTTTCTAGCCAGGTGATTTCTGTACTTATCCCACATGATCTCTTTCTCTTAACAATGGTTGGTCCAAAAAAGACCACTGGTGGGCTGTATAGATATCTTCTGAAGATAGGTACGTCTCATGCTAATGCACTGTCTTTGTCTTCCTATAGAACTAAGTAAGCCTGGTGCCAAGCTCTTCATTAGATTCCACATATGAGTGAGATCAGCAGTGAATATCAATCTGAACCAGAGATTGCTGCTGGTTGGTGAATAAAGGAGGGAATCTGAGAATTAACTGCATTCTTAAATGCTTTTAATCAGTCCTCCTGCCTTTAGTTTCATCTTCACTTCTCTGCTTCTGGAGAATTTTAAGATTACATAATGTAAATTGGGGTGCTCCTCTGCTTTTCTCCAGCACTGGCTTAGCATTCAGCTTTCCTTAGGCCTGCTGAGTTGGTTACCACTCTGCCATATGATTTCTAGCTTGCAAAATTTTGTCTTTTTTCTCTTTCTTTACTTTTGTTGGAATACTGTGCTTCCAGGCACTTCAGATATGTTATCTCATTTAAGCCTTCCAATATCCCTTTGGTAGGGGCATTATTCTAAAGAAGAGATTAATTAACTGAGAAATCTGTATTTGAATTGCAAAACTAAACTTTTGCCTTTCAATTTTTATCAATATCTTAAAAATAAAGTGAAGCTGATTATTAAAAATGATTATTTCCAGAATGTTAAAGAATGTTTTAGCATAAAAATATTTTCCATGGATAAATGTA